GTACTAGTATGAGGAATGAGGTCATTCCACCAAATTTGAGGAATGGACTCATGATGCATCATCAGTCATCACTCCATCTAGGATAAGTTGATTCCTCAAACCAAACACACCATAATTGTTCACACAAAAGGTTATAACAGTAGTCCAAACAGTAAAATCATAATGACACTGAACGCTGAGGCATGAGAAAAATGTCGTCCATACAGTAAAATAAGTGAGGACCAATAAATCATGCAAGTAACAGGTTAACAGTTAATAATACTGATACCCGACAACAAATACATATCATGGCATTAGTTAATATAATAATGGTCTCAAGTAGACATTGCAGAAGCTTCCTTGGGAATGAAGTTGACAATCTAGAGGGCTAAAGCCTAAAAGGGATACAAACAGTAGCTTGCTCCTCAATTCTCACAATCGCAGCAGTATAATAATCTGAACTTAGAAGACCTACCAATGCAGCGACTTTACAATTGATCAATACGCACAGACATGTCTCTAAGTCGTACAATTAGGAAAAACAGTAAATTGCGGCAAACGATGTCAACGCCCCAAATGACGGGATCTGTTCAAGTATGAGAAGAAGATGACATATAAATAAAAAAATAGGACGAGACATGCAGACACAATGAAATGGTAACACTTCTGTTTTGCAAATAATTAGGACGCCCATGTGACTAAGACAACATGTGGTGGAGGGCCACGACAAACTAGCAGACCGAAGAAAACAAGTCTTAAACGACAAGATCAAAGAAATCCTACCCACCTATGCGGATATGATGGATTTTTAGGCAAGCAGATGGTTTACAAGTACCAAGAAACCAACAAATTCATCCTAGCAGACTAGAAAACGAATCCAATGTATGTACATGTCCACAAAGACAAGGAACGAATTCCTACTGCTGACCAGTATCAAGGGAACAAATTTCCATGAGACAAGGAGAGAGATTCGAGACGGCCGATACACATGGATCTCAGCTTCTGGAGTATGAAATTACTACTGATATATTAGTAATAACATACTACTAGCCAAGTTCAGATCTACAGTTCGGAAGCTACAAATTCAAAGTACTCCAACAGTCCAACTGTTGTACTACATCGTTATCACAAAAGCATCTCCCCAACTCCAAGGAAAACGAGAAAGTACCCACACTTTGAGCTATGCGACCCAAGACCAAGAGCCACGCAGACTTTTATTCCAGGTCCCCACAGGAGTACCATCCCTCCTCCCTCTTCAACCGGGGAACAGGGGGGAAAGGCAGCCAAACCTTTTGCGGCTTTTCCCTTTTCAATGTATCGCAAAATGCAGTACGGGCAAAACAACAAAAAGCGCAAGATGCCACAATCTATGCAAATCGGTTTACATAATAACAACCGCTGAACCTAACTCCAATTTCGATTTGTAACATCCCAAAACGCAGGACGCAAATGAAGAAAGTATCACTGTAACAACAGCAAGCCCCGTAGAGAACTCTGAACAATGGACAAAGAGAGAAAAGACCAGCGATTACCTTCTGCAACCACCTTGTCCTCCACGCAACTGTCAACTTCTCCCGCAGATCCGCGCAGCGCCGCGCCTCCTCCATTGGCCTCGCTCGTGCCAATCTCCTCTCGCTGTCGTCCTCCTTCCTCTCCTGCAGCTGAACGAACGAACGGGCACGGCCATCAGAACCAACGAACGGAAAAGTAAACCCATCGAATCCAGATAAAACGAAGCGAGGCGCCAGCTAAACCCCCCCCGGACGTACCGAGCACCATCCGCCCGGCCGCATTGCGGTCGCCGACGCCCTCCTCCCTCTCGCCCGCAACGGCTTCCTCAACCTCCGCCACCGCCTCGGCCGTCGGCGGCAGCGCCTTGCCGCAGTGCTTGCGGTGGGAGCGGCGGAGCTTGGCGCTGGGGTGCGGGTTTGGGTACTGGTACCCGCAGACGTGGCAAAGGTGGCCCCCGCTGAGCGCCGCCGCCTCCTTCCCGCCGTGCCGCTTCTCGTCGGTCTCCATGGCCCGGGCTCCGCTGCGCTAGTGGATGGCAGCCGCGGCGGCGATGACGGAACGGCGATCGGCTTTGATAAAGGAAGGCTACCGCTGCTCCGTTTTGAACGGGGGGTTTATTTTGGGTTTGGGTTTGCGAGGGTGTGCAAGTTGCGGGCGGCGTGGGGGAGGAAGGGCTTGGCTTTAACAAGCCACTGCGCAGGAGTATGACGGGTGGAGCCGCGATACGTGGGGCCCGGACGTCGGTGAGTATGGGACGCCCAAGTAGATCCATCAATGCGGGCCATGTGCGCGGCGGGGCGGGGAGGAAATTCCCTTGGCCGGTTTCTTCTAGGCACTCACTCAGTCGCTCCCGTGGTAGAGGTGGTGGTGGAGGGGGAAAAAGGTTTGTTGGAGAGGGAAGCAGGTGTGCAAATGTTACGGATGATTCGATTTCAAATTTGTTTAGAGGAGTTTAGATATATTTGTATTCGAGTTTGAATATTTAACATCTGGTAATCCGAATACTCAAATCGTATATTTATAATGTTCATATCTATTCATATCCTATTTGATATAGACGCTATCCGTATTCAAATAGAAATATAAAAACAAATATAATATCGACAATATCCATCCATATCTGATCTATCTGTATCCGAATATAGAAAATAAAAATAAATATAATATCAACGATATCCATCTGTATCCGATAAGTGGAAGCGAAGTCACGCCGGGGTGGTACGGAACTGCGCTAGATCTGGCCGTTGCGTGCGTGATGGACCGCTGCGCGAGCCCGTGGAGACGAACAACGTGAGGGCGAGTCTTTGGGACCTGCTTTGTGCCTTTCCGGCCCCTGGGCGTGCTTCTGGTCTTCTGCTTCATCGTGTTCCCTAGACCTAGACGGAGGCTCGGTAAAAACCTGAGCTTTGGTCCTGTGATCATGCGCTGTGGACAGATAATTTTACTGTGGCTTGTAACTGAAATTCGAACGTCAGGACCGTGGACTCCACTGAACGTGCACTCTTGCATTACAGGCATAGCTGAAGGTCCACGGGAAAACGGTTACTGTACTGCGTGATCCTATCCTACGGGCTACGGCGACGAGAACGTCTCAACAGCCAGCTTTTAACGCGGCGTTTGACGATCCATCAGGCATCCTGGTACTGGGCCGTCCAGGATGAGACGGGTCCATCTGGTCTGCCTATCATCGCCTCCCACGCGGCCACGCCTGGCCCCTGCTGGTGAAGTAACCCAGCCATCATGAGCCAGCCAGCGCACGGCGCTCCCGTCCCGTCTTCCTCCGCCGGACGCATCGTTCCTGTATCGCTGCTAGACTGACTGATGGGGAGGACTGCAATAGGCTAGCCTGCTCCGCGATTTCCTCGTTGTCTGCACGGCTAGCTGTTCATGTTCTTGCTGGAAAATTGTCGGTCCGATTGCCGTCTGATCCCATCATCATTTGGGTCAGTCAGATGACAGATCGGGCAATGGCTCGCCAGGTATGGCTTCTTTTCTTCAGAGCATAATCAGCTAGGGTGACCGGGCATGTGCACAAAAAAAAAGGAACAGGAGAGAAAAGTGTTGCTATGTACTGTATGCATGATAGTCATCATGCGCCACCACACTGATCAGTGAATTCATTAGTGTTGGCACCTAGTGATCTAGCTGATGAAAAAGCTCATGATCCGTGAGTGATTGGTTTACTTGGATTGGAAGTGATTTGTCGCAGGGGGTGGTTGAAGATGGCTAGGCTACGCAGCAGGAACCCGAACATCATTTGCAGCAAGTCTGCAAGTGTGACATATGCAGAACAGGTGGCGAGCAGTGGCTGCTGGGCGGCAATGGACTAACCGATTCCAATACACGCGCTTCAATTTTAGTATCATCAAACCGCTGTTGATAGCAAGTCGCAGTCGTTAAGAACGAGTGAGAAGTAATACAAGCTGTCATGAACTTTTCTCTTTGTTTCCTTCCCGTGGCTCCTAGTAGGAGTTGAGAGCGATCGTTTTACTTGCACCGGAAGTGATTTCTCGGTGGGGATAAACGAGGTGGTTAAAGATGTGCCTAGACGGTTGGAGTGGGGGTGGTTAGCTGCTCGAATCGAAACGTACGTTTCATCTCGCTCGCCAGTCATCGCCGCCTCATGATCATTTGATTCATTTCTCCGATCCTGTGTGTGCGTGTTAGCCGTTGGATATTATGATATTGTTATCATGGTAATATATGGGTACTACTAGGTGGTGGTGACTGGTGAGGGCGAACGTGAAGTGGTTAACCGTTCTCGATCGAGCCATGATGCCGACCACTTGGCCGGCCCGGAGGAATCTTGTTGGCCCCTCCGTAGCGCCCACGCCAAGCAAAGCCACACTACCCCCAAAAGAGGCTCCGGCCTCCGGGCACTGTTGCTCCGACGTCCGACCCTCGTCGTCGCCGTCCTTTACCGTCAGTTATGGCTCCCTCCCGTAGTCCCGTGCAAGTGCAATGATCGAAATTTATCGCGAGGGGAGTCCGGGAGTGGTTGTCAGGTGACGCCAATACCGCCGGGCCTGCGTGCGTGCGTGGGCGGCGGTGGCGGACGAGTCGTATTTGGGGCACACAGTGACTGATCGATCGTGCGCACGCCCGCACGGCCGGAGTTTATTTTCCTTGGGACCTGGTGTCGCCAACGCGAAGGATAGGATAGGACCTGGTGACGCAAACTGACACGAGGGTTCAGTGATGTTTTGGGCCGTCCGAGAGGCTTACAGCTCGCTCGTGCAGCCCAACTCACACGTAGTACTGAAAACTGAAACAAACTACCTTTTCCACCTTCCATTTCTGATTTTCAAGCGAGCAGGAGCAACTGAACAAGCCTTCACTGTCATAACACAAGTCTGGGTAACTGGGTAAGAAGCAGGAGTATGTTAGAACATCTACGTACGTTGCCCAAACCACTTCCCTAGCTCCCAAGTCGTCTAGCCTGCAGGTTACACAAAATCAAGACTCAAATGCCGTCTTCTTGCCCCCTCTGTCCTCCGAGGCAGTCACAGTCAAGAGTCCAACGAGCTTGGGAACTTGCAGGATCCATGGCCTGAAGGGAAAAAAGGAGTAAAAAAAGGATCCATCAGCACGACATGTTAACAGATCAAGATGCACGACAGAAACAAGATGGTCAATTGCTTGAGCTACTGGAAGAAGATACATGGGAACGACATATAACAAAATGGTCAATTGTTTGGGCCAGCAGAAAAATAAAGAGCGTCATTAAAGGTAAGCTTAAGGTACTAATGTACTATCATCATCTTATCAATGCCATACTGTTCAGAGACCGCGATGTAAGAGCACTGGAATGATCACATGACTGACACTTTATGTGAATGCAGTTTGGCATCATTTTCTATCAGTAATAACAGAAAGATTGCTTTTGAGATCAAAGCAACATTGACCAACATAACGTTTATTAACTCAAGCAGCCAAAGCAGGTGAGAAACCAAAGAACTGAAAAACAAGTAGGAGCTGCGCAGACAAACAAGAAAGGTGTTTGTTCAAGGATGTGTCTGTAGAACTGATCAACTGAACAAGTAGATCTGATACGGAACCTTCACAGATCTCTCACTTAAAAGTTACAAATGTCACAAAGAGTACGCTTTAGTGTCTATGTAGAGAATGCTGGTGCAAATACAAGAGTATCAGCAATAAACTTCAGCCACATAAAATGGTTGTTAGTTGTTTCAAGGAAGCACAGCTAGGACGTGCAAGCACTGAGCACGTAGCAACCAGTCTAAACACTGCTTAACTGAAGCAATTATTTTCTTCTTTTCAAAGTAAGCAGATTGTTCCCAGATTTTATCTTTTTTAAAGACCCTGTGCTCAGTTACACTGAACCTGCAGAAGCTAACACACACGACAAAGGTATGTTTCTTCATTTGTCCTACTACCATACCAACTGTTCAGATGCATCAATTATCACATAGAAACTCATACACGAAATTGCAGGTTCGCATGCATCTACTGACCTTACTACAACAGTCAAAGATCATGAACTGGTTGGGCTTTGGCCCAGTCATAAATGGGCCACAATGAACTAGTCATCTGCTACCATAGCACTGAAAAGTACTATTCCTATGGATTGATGGGCTGATGGCAGCTAACACAGCTATATATGCATAAGTTTTTTAAAACAAGTGTGCACATGCAACTATATGCAAGCCTGCAACCTGAACATTTTGGGGCATATTTGGCAGCAAGCCCAGCAACAAACCAAACCTAAATGTAGACAGTGTCACTGTAGGAATCTCTTTGTAGAAACCTATGAAAGGAGTCTTTTACTGTATAGAAATTATAAATCTTTAGTCTAGGCAAATGGCAACACTTTATGAAGATTGATATATGTTGCTTACGATTCCTGATCCCCAAAGCCCAAAGTGGTGGGAACCAACTCACTTGACAGATGAAAAGAACATCTTAATCACAATGCATTTCCAGCTATATTCCTATACTATACTAATATAATAGAATCGATCTACATGAGCAATACGAAGTTGGAACCTTCTCTTCTTGGGAACCGTACCCACTAGGCACAAGCGCATGAACTAGGCACGTCCCACGATCTCGACAACAATTATTTTAGATTGATCTTAACAAGAATACTTCTGGATGGGCAACAAATCACAAAAAATAGCAGTTTTTTAATATTTCTCACATATCATAGTTGACAAATGGATTGCTCCAGACATGGTCACTTGACTGGTGATTAAGGTGGTGTTTGGTTGCCCCTCCTAAATTTTAGTCGCTGTCCCATCGAATGTTTGGACACATACATGAAATATTAAATATAGACTAATTACGAAACTAATTGCATAGTTTGCGACTAATTTGCGAGACGAATCTTTTAAGCCTAATTAGTCCATGATTTAACAATGTGTGATAATGACGGATTAATTAGGCTCAAAAAATTCGTCTCGTGGAGTACTGACGGATTATGTAATTTATTTTTTTATTAGTATCCGAACACCCCATGCAACCTCCTCACGACACGCCTCCTAAATTTTAGTCACCAGATGCAACCACCACCTAAATAATCCCCGGGGACACGCAAGACTATCTGGTCTGATGACCCCAATCATCAGAGTTCAGAGAAGAGACACCTAGACCCCAATCATCAGAGTTTTTTAATACTACGTGGAAGACAGTGTTGACCTGGTACTGTGCCGTTTCCAGAACTGCAATATGCTTTCACAACATTCAATTATTCATCACCTCTGACAGCTAAAGTCGTCCCTCTAGTCATTTGGTGAAATGTACCATCTGTTGATAGTGTAATTTGCTTCTTCTTTTTTTACTTTCTAGATCATCCTAGTCAATTGAATTACAGATTGAAACTGCATTAATCAATCAAGAACTAATCATTCAAAACAAGCACTAAATGGACCATAATTTCAGAATGTAGAATGTGTGTAAACACTTACTTGGGTCTTTGATAGTCTGCTCTGCGAGGTTGTTGAAGTAGCACGTCGCTCCAATCTTCCTGAACTGCTGCCAGTACGAATTGAACGCGTAGCTGGCGTGCGCCACTGTCGTGTTCGGCATGTAACACATTTTCCCGGGCTGAATGGCGTCGCAGGTCCCGTTTCCCTGCCCGCACGCGTACGACAGCGCGTTCCCCACTGCCGTCTCGTTCAGCTTGTTGCTGGCCGCGGCCGAGAGCACGCACCATATCGGCCCCTTGTACGGTGTGTTGTTCTCCGGCGCCGGCAGGGGCGGGTACGACCACAGTGGCCGGCGTCCGGTGAGGTCGATCTCGTAGACTGCCGTGCCGTTGGCGTAGTACAGCCCCCAATGTCGCTCGGTGCCCGGCCCTGGCTTGAGGTCCTCGTTGTAGAGCGAGAACACGAACACAGGCATGTTCGCGCCCGGCCTCACCGGCGTGCCCGGGTTCTTGACCATCCGCACCGCGAGGTTCCTGTTGTAGATGGCGGCGTTGTGGACGTTGCCGCCAATCTGGTCGTAGTCGCAGCCGTTGGGCCACCCGGTCTCCGCGATGGCCAGCTTCACGTGCCCGTACCCGAGCTTCGCCATCGCGATGACCACCGCGTCGAGCATTTCGTCGAGCAGGTTGGTGTATGCGAGCCCGGTGCCCGGGTCGACGTAGCGGAGGCGTCCGCCCTGGAAGAGCGCGTAGTCGAGCGAGACGGTGAGGTTGTTGTCGGCCCAGACGAAGTAGGGGTACGCGTCGACGAAGTAGTATGAGTTGGTCCCGTTCAGGAAGTGCAGCAGCGGGCGCACGACTGCCTCGGCGATGTCGGCGCGGAACTCGGCGGCCGACGGTGGGCGCGGGAAGGCGCCGTCGGCGAGCGAGTCCATGGCGAGCGTGGTGCCAATCTTAACGCTGCTGATGCCCCTCTTGCGGAGGCTCCGGTGGATGTTCTCCATCGCCGGGACGAGGCGCGGCCAGGTGGAGTTGGCGATGGAGTGGTCGGAGAGGATCTCGTTCCCCACGAGAAGGAACTTGACCCGCGTCGCCGGGTAGTAGGGGACCAGGTTCTCGGCGACCCACCGGTCCGCCGCGGCCGCTGAGGCGGCGAGGTCCGGGATGATCTCGTTGGGCACCATGATGGAGACGGGCCAGCGCGTCCCCGCCAGCGCTCGGAGCACGCCCGGGTTGGCGTCGTAGATCTTGACCGACCCGGCCCCCGCCGCGCGGAGCAGCTCCACTGACCGCCGCGGCGAGGGGATGTCGTCCGCCACCCGCCCGTAGTTGACGCCGAGCCCGTAGCCGCCGCTTGCCCCATACGCCCCTGCAAAGATAAAGCCAAGAAAGACACCGCCTTTAAGCTCACAAAGCTCAGGCCTCAGCTCAGCTTGGTTTGCAATAGCTCCATCCTTCGGCCCGCCAGCGAGACGGCGTGGTGGACGGCAGAGGGGGAGGCTTGCGCAAGCTTACCGCGGCAGGCGACGGTGGCGCAGAGAAGGAAGAGGAAGGGGAGGGTCAAGAGCGGCGAAGCGGCCATGGCTCGGGCTCCTCTGCTCTGTTGGAGTCTGCCTGGGCGTTCTCAGACCTCGGGGTTGCCGTCTAGGATGGATGGGAAGCCGCGTCGTCCCCTTCTCTTCTTGTAGGAGAGCGGATTGTGTTAAACTAGGGGTTCCTTTTTTTAATTAAATTAAAGTTTGGTAACGGTATAGTACTTTTCACTAGCCATTGGTCGGTGCACATAAGCTTTTGAGAGGGAAATTTAAAAATAATTCAATAAAGCAAAAACAAAAAAATAATGAGGTAAAGCTGTGGTGAAAAAAAAATGATGCTTTGGAGAAAATCACAAGAAAAAGAGAGGAGGTGCTGTGCAACTGCAATGGTGCAGGTGTGCATTGCAGGCTTACAGCGTTGGGCTGTGTCAGTGCCCATCACTACCCTTGCTGCACGTCTTGCGCATTGGATCCTCTGCTTGGGGAGGGAGCTTTGGGAAGCTGGCTTTGCAAGTTTGTTTTTCTTTCTAGACCTTGTTTAGATTGTAAATTTTTGCAACCTCGACACGGTAACACGTTTCGTTTGTATTTGATAAACTTTGACCGATCATAGACTAACTAGACTCAAAAGATCCATCTCGTGATTTACAACCAAACTATGTAATTAGTTATTTTTTTTACTTATATTTAATACTCCATGTATGCGTCTAAAAATTGATGTTATGAAGAGAGTGAAAAAACTTAGAATTTGGAGGTGATCTAAACAAGGCCCTGTTCTTCCAGGTTTTGGAAGTTTGTCAATTGTGACACGCGAGGTCAAAAGGTACATGGTAAATTTCGTCGCCAATGGAAAGAGCGCTTTCCTTTCCTCATTCTGTTAAACGACCTGGGAAGCTGCCCGTAGGGATGTATTTTTTTTTCACTTTTTTGAGGATCAAACGATTTCAAGTTTAATCAAAATTATATAAAAAAATCTAACATTTATAATTAAAAAGAACAGTAGGGTTAATTATATAATATACTTTTGTTAGTAAACGTAGTCGGAGACATAAATATTATTACTATATATTCACTATAAATCTTGATTAAAATTAAGCTAATTTGACTTACATAAATCTTATAATTGCATCTTTTTTAGACGGAGGGAGTACATCCCAACACCGGTGCAACTTGTGCAAAATAGCTATCTTTCGCAATGATTTTGCTAAATTTTTATCTAGTCATATAAAATAACAAATACTAAAAATTAGTTGGGTGGATCCAAGCAGATCGAGCTAATAGATTAGCTAGTATCAGCTAGGTGTCAGCTAATAACTATCTCATTGGTTTGGTAAACTCAATTAATTGGTTGTCAATGATTGAATAACTTCTCATCAATTGATAAGGTTATGTTTAGATCCATTAGCTGTTAATAACTAGCTAGCTAATAGTTCATAACTAATATTAGCCTAATTATTAGTTAGTTTGGCCTAACTAATAAGATAATTGTTAGTTAGTAACTTAGTATTCAACTAACAATTAGCTAGACTATTAACTGGACCCGTTTGGATTCATAAGACAGTGAGGTCGCCTAACTATTAACTTTGAGGATCCAAATAGACACTAAGTATTAGCAACTAACTATTAGTTTGGCTATAGTACGAGTCGCAACTATTTTGGTAAAATAACTCTTTAACAACCTATAAACTAGTGGATTTCAAACACCTCACAGCTAATAGTCAACCAGCTAATTTTAACTAAAGGTATAGTAAGGGGCAGAGATACATTTGGTAAAACATTTCAACGACCTATAGGATAATGGATTTTAAACAATCTGCAAGTAATAATTAGCCAGCTAATTTCAATTGAAAGCTTTTAATAACTACTATACTAATAGATCTAAAACACCAGCTATGCCACACAGGTCCCGTTCATTTCGCTGAAAAAACAAGCCGAAACATTGTTCCGGCTGATTTATTGTGAGAGAAAAACATTATTTCGACTAAAAAGACAAGTAAAAAAGTATGGATTATAAAGAAGCGAACAGGGCCACAGACTACGTCTCCATAGACTAACCACGGATGAGCGAGACATCGTACCCACTACTCATGCGTGTTTATAGAAAAACTACTCATGCGTGGTCAGCATACCGTGACAGAAGCTTGCTCTTAAAAAAAAGGCAAATCTTATTTTTCAAGGAGTCAACTTTCTAAAATTTAACCACATATATATATAAAAAGAATTAAAAATATTCATAATATATAATAAGTATCTTTAGATTAATAATAACATATATAAAATACAAATTTTAATACTCTTATTATTTTTTATGATCTAGTTAAACCTAAGAAACTTTGACTCTTTAGAAATGAGATATGCATTATTCTTTTTTCTTGAGTACGCGTCAACACATATAAGTCAGATTCTCCGGGCTTTCGTCAACACGTTCGACTGTACTGACGCAGGCGGCGGCAATGTGTGCAAGTAGTCTTTCGTCAACACATATGCTTGATATTTTTCCCATGAAGTTTCCATCGCCCTTTTGCTTTTATTGATTCCCTCCCTTTGGCTTTATGTGTTATAAGAATATTACGTAGCGCTACGTATGATCTCAGGAAAAGATATATAGTTGAATGTTTAGGACTTTAGGCTCGTTTTCTCCCATCCACGTCACTCGTCAGTTAGCACGCCTCTTGTGCGCACATCACGTTCAGGAAATACAAGTGTGCTAGCTCACAAATCCACAGGTCGATTTAGTTGTGTAGATCCGAATTGCGGGGAGACGCACAATCTGGACTTGCTTAGAGATACTCTTAAGCATTGGTTGGACGCCGTATGTATTGGGTGGATTATGGCGAGAATTAAGCTAAGTTTCATCCTAATCTACTTCAATACATATGGATCGTGGTGGATACGAAGCATCCAAACGGGCCTTAGAAAGTTTGCACAAGTTTATGAAATGGTACAGTACTAAGATAATACAGAGGAAGGAGGTCCACAGGGCGGCCGCTCTAGTTCCCAAGACGAAGGTGCCCCTCGTATATGTAGTGTGTAGTATATTATCATTTTGTATATATATGATCCAAAAGCTCAAAAACTTTAAGAAGGTAACAACAAAGTATTACGATGCATCACCAATTAACGTTGTTTGAGTCGTGCCGTGTGAAGCAAGTCACGACGCCTTACCTTTATGAGACTCCGACTGTGTTGTGACTCGTCGATCACCTTGATCCGTCGACACACGACTCCATACAGGAGAGCAACTTAGTCCACAAGGATGAAGAATGCATCGTAGGTTCCCTTTCCCTTACTGCAATTTCTAAATTCTGAATTGAGATCTGAATCCATTTCTTAGGGAACACGATCTTTTCATAGATCCATTTCATAGGATGCGGGGCTTGACTGCTCAAGTTGTGCTCTCATTTCATTTCATCTGAGTGGCAAACATGACTAGCAGTGTCGAAGCTAGAATTTTAGTGTTCAGTATTTCTACTTCCTCCGTCCTAAAATATAAATATAATTCATTATGACTTCTAAAATTTGTATTGACATATAATTCATTCTATGTAGTGACTATGCTTAGATTTAGCAAAGTTTACTTAAAAAGGAAACCATAATTTAAGCAGAAATTCCTTAATTGGATTTAGTCCATGGGTACATGTGTAATTTGAGTATTCTCTTAAGGTATTTTAAAATTTATAGAATATAATATATTACAGGACGGATGTGGTATTTCTGAAGAAAAGGTTCAATCAATGTATTATCAAGCAAACTGATCTGATAAGTAATTTGTTAAGCCCAAATCATCATTGCTAGTCTAATATAAGACCACGAGTGGTTTCTATCTAAGATTCAAACAAACGCACACTTGCCAGGCACTGCTTAAATAGTGAGGAATCCCCCGCGTTTGTACGGCTTTCATCCAACAACAAGAGACTAATAATCAAAAAAGAATTTTTCTTCGCTTAGCTAGCAAATGGAATAAAATGATTGGAGAAACACAAGATATATATGGTGACATGTAGTCGAGTCATTGGACGAGATGACAGAGTCATAGGCCAAGGCACAGGGCAGAGGGCACCCGTGCCTTGTCCTTGTGCCGTGGCACGAGGGCTTCACCGAATCGCCACTTGCATGCTCACACCTTGTGCGTTGTGACTGGATCTAGAGTTTGGCTCAAATGAATTTGAGGACATGGGGAAGTTGAATATAGCTGTTATCGTTGCTTATTGCCGAGCCACTTGGTATACACTAATTCTCTACCAAAATAGTATTCCTAAAAATACCCGAGGGATACAAACGAATTAGTATTTTTGTTATATAAACGATAATGATTAGACCTGGACGTGCGTCCATCCGGACCACCCACTCGCCCACATCGCGCGCTACGTGCCTCCGCCCCACTCTGCCTCGCTGTTCCTTCTAGCATATCCTGCGCGGCGTGAGATCGAGGGGGGACTCGGCGCCTGCTGTAGGGGCTGCTGGGGGCTGCGTGGAGCCCAGCAGACTGGTGGCCATGAAGGGGTCTCCGTCTGCCTCATGGTATGCAGAGTCGATCTAGTCAATGGTGGCGACAATGCGGCTGCCTCCGGTGAACTTCACACGCCGGCGAGCTTCCATTTCGTAAGCAGCAAGTAGATGTTGCGCTTGAAAGCGCATGTTGCAAACATTTGTTTTAAGTGTTGCATATGTTTAAGAGGTATGTTGCAAGTGTTTCATATAGATGCTGCAAAAGTAGATTGAGATGTTGCATATGTTGTAATGGTAGTACACATATGTTGTAAATGTCTGTTCCTAATGTTTCATCTGTTTTTTTGACATATGTTGCAAGAGTGTTTAACTGGATATGCATATGTTTCATAAATATATTGCAAGTGTTTTATCTGGATGTTGCGTATATTTGCAATGGTTTCAAGTGTTTTTGCAAGAGTTTCAAACGCATATTTTAAGTGTTTCATCTATCTTTATGCGTATGTTGCAAGTGTTGCATCTGGATGTTTTAAAAGTAGATCGGATGTTGCACCTCCCTCCTCGCCTTCTGCTATCTTGCATCCTTCTCAAACCGCGA